AGCAGGTATCTTCTTCTTATTGGTGTCCTTTAGTAGTGGTTTCTTCGCATCAATTCGACCATGAAGGCCTGACTCACACAGTCTCTTCTGAACAGTTGATGTTGAGATGTGTCTGTTACTTGAACTCTGTGAAGCATTTATTTGGGCTCAAGAAACTTTCAATGTTTTTGAAATTTTCCAGATTGACTGACCTTCATGTCTTAAAGTAATGATGGACTGTCATTTCTCTTTTCTTATTTGAGCTGTTCTTGCCATAATATGGACTTGTTTTTTTACCAAATAGGGCTATCTTCTGTATACCCCCCCCCCCCCCCTCATAATTCTAATGAAATTCAAATGAAATGGGCCTCCCGAGTGGCGCACTGGTCTAAGGCACTGCATCGCAGTGCTAGCTGTGCCACTAGAGATCCTGGTTTGATTCCAGGCTCTGTCGCAGCCGACCGCGACCGGGAGACCCATGGGGTGGCAAATGGCCCAGCGCCGTCCAGGGTAGGGGAGGGTTTGTCCGGCAGGGATGTCCTTGTCCCATCGCGCACTAGCGACTCGCCCAACCCGGGAGCCAGTCCGCTGACTCAGTCGCCAGGTTTTTCCTCCGGCACATTGGTGCGGCTGGCTTCCGGGTTGAGCGGGCACTGTGTCAAGAAGCAGTGCGGCTAGGTTGGGTTGGGTTGTGTTTTGGAGGACACACGACTCTAGGACGCACAACCTTCGACTCTCGACCTTCGCCGTACGGACACGGGAGTTGTAGCGATGGGACAAGACTGTAACTACCAATTGGATACCACAAAAAGGGGGTAAAATATACAAAAAGCTTGCATTAATCTCATTGTCATTTCATAAATTCTGCATGTATTGCAAAATACACAGATATCCTATACATTATATACGTAAGGCCTTATACACTATTTATACAAAAGTTTGTGGACACCCCTTCACATGAGTGGATTTGTCTATTTCAGCCACACCCGTTGCTGACAGGTGTATAAAATCGAGCAAACAGCGTTGCAATCTCCATAGACAAACATTGGCAATAGAATGGCCTTACTGAAGAGCTCAGTGACTTTCAATGTGGCACCGTCATAAGATGCCACCTTTCCAACCGGTCAGTTCGTCAAATTTCTGCCCTGCTAGAGCTGCCCCGGTCAACTGTAAGTGCAAGTGCTGTTATTGTGAAGTGGATACATCTAGGAGCAATGAAGTGTTAGGCCATACACTAGAGTGCTGAAGTGCGTAAAAATCGTCTGTCCTCGGTTGCAACACTCACTACTGAGTTCCAAACTGCCCCTGGAAGCAATGTCAGCACAATAACTGTTCGTTTCCATGGCCGAGCAGCCGCACACAAACCTAAGATCACCATGTGCAATGCCAAGTGTCGGCTGGAGTGGTGTAAAGCTCATCGCCATTGGACTATGGAGCAGTGGAAACGCGTTCTCTGGGGTGATGAATCACGTTTCACCATCTGGCAGTCCGGTGGACTAATCTGGGTTTGGCGGATGCCAGGAAAACGTTACCTGCCCCAATGCATAGTGTCAACTGTAATGTTTGGTGGAGGAGGAATAATGGTCTGAAGCTGTTTTTCATGGTTCATAGTTCCAGTGAAGGGAAATCTTAACGCTACAGCATACAATGACATTCTAGACGTTTATGTGCTTCCAACTTTGGGGGAGGCCCTTTCCTGTTTCAGCATGACAATGCCCCCATGCATCGGTAGTGAGCGAGGTCCATACAGAAATGGTTTGTCGAGATCGGTGTGGAAGAACTTGACTGGCCTGCACAGAGCCCTGACCTCAACCCCATCGAACACCTTTGGTATGAATTGGACCGCCGACTGCGAGCCAGGCCTAATCGCCCAACATCAGTGCCCGACCTCACTAATGCTCTTGTGGCTGAATGGAAGCAAGTCCCCGCAGCAATGCCTTCCCAGAAGAGTGGAGGCTGTTATAGCAGCAAAGGGGGGACCAACTCCATATTAATTCCCATGATTTTGGAATGAGATGGTCGACGAGCAGGTGTCCACATACCTTTGGTCATGTAGTGTAGGTTGTATTGATGTTTTATCCTTTGCGTGTCGTTTTTTTGTAACTTGTGCCAGCCCAATCTTGCAGACCTTTAAACATCTTAAATGAGTAGCCTATGTTTGTCTGGACTGACCTTTTTAGTTTCCTTAAAGACTGTAGTACAGCTTTTGTTTCTTTATATCCTTCCATTAAGTGCTACACTTTTCCACCAGACCAGTTCATAGGGGCGACGTGGGGTTGACTGGGGAAGAGTGAGGTACACACAAGGGGGGAGGGTATGATTTCACATACACACACTCTGTTAAAGGAGAACTCAACAAGATTTAAGAATGATTCAAAAGTAACATTCTCAAACATTGCAATATGCTTCTGATTACTATCAGAAAGGACATCAGGCCCATTTTGGACAGTTAGAAATATGTTTTAAATCAAGTTCTAACAGGCTTAGTCTGTTTCCAGAGAGAGGGCCCCTGCCAGTGGAAATAAAATGGCCACTTTTGTTCTTGGTAATGAATGGACTCATGCTTCTTTGTGAGCATGAACAGTAACTTCAAAAAGGTGTCGCCACAAAACAGTCTTCAATGATTGTGGTCTGTGGACATCAAATAAACAGCAAGTTCGGCTCTCATTAATAATTAGACAGGGGTGTGATGGTAGCGGAAATCATTCCAACTGTATAGAGAGACAATGTGTTTGACATTGATGCCATTGCAGTTTGGCTGCACAGTTCCGAAGACTGCTATAATAGTCTGAATTTCACATTCAGAAACACCCTTCCAGGAGTTGTGAAGATCTGGTGCGTTGCACAGACGGACTGAAATGTAGTCGATCCCAAACATGCAGTCCTTCTGAGAGAGAGGAGCAGCCAGTCTGTGTAGGAATGAGTAATGACTGAATCAGCTGGTTGTGCTGTGCTTTGAACTTTGCTCTGAGAGAGAGTGAGTGAGTATGACCAAAAGCTGTTTGGCCTATGCTTTTCCTGACTAACTTAACCCACGCAGATAATGTTTGTGAATGTGAACTTCCATGAGGACAAACTTGAATAGGGATCTGGATGATTAATGTTTCCCTCTAACTTCAAAAACTTTATGTGCATGTCCTACGATTATCAGGACATGGGCAGTGCTTGATTTGGGCTGGAGCTGTCCGGAGCGCCGTCCCAGCACCTCTATAAAACAAAGTAGCCTATCACCTGCCCAGATTCACACACAGAGAAAAGAAAACATTTTGATTAAAGCGGAATGAAGGTGGGATCTGCATTGAATAGCAATGGCTATTTGGCATTCATTTACTGATTCCACTTTGTTCATGTTTATTTGCCACTAGTGTGTGAATCTGTGCGTGACAGTAGGCTGTCAATTCGAGATTGTGCAGATTGAAAATGGGCCAGCCTGAATGCACATGATGCGCTGTTTCAAGTTGTCGAATGAGGGTTTGTAAAGTCATGAAAAGGCATGGACATTTATTTCATAATTTTTGTTAATGTAATTCATGAAAGCACACTTAAATATTATCAATCACTTAAAAATCGACATATCAGCCATCATCGGAATGACCCTTCAGTGCGTCTGTGTGTTGCAGTGCGAGTGGGCCAGAGAGAGAGTCATGGAAAATGTGTATGAACCCTTAAAATTATCAGAGGTCTCTATAGCATAGCATTTGTGAATTTCGGTGAACATAGTCTAATGAACCGACTTGGAAAAAGACAGATCCTGCACTTCTTCCATCCCAAGTCAAGCACTGGACCTGGGTGATCAAATACAGAAAACCCAGTTCAGCAATATAGCTGTGTGTTAACAACAACAACAAACCATTTACATCCCTTAAAGTGTTTCAAATGTAGCTTGACCCAGAGCTAGTGGAAAAGGAATCTAGTCTAAATAATGAACGCAGTGGAGGAGGAATAACTTGACCTATGGGGAGAGGACAAGAGATGGTGTCCTATATCAATAACAGTGGGCCTGGTAATACTACCCGAATTGCAGCCATGCTGTCCACTGAATGTAGACCGGGCAAACATGAGAAAAATGACTTTGTGTGATCAAGTGAATATACTGTGATAAAGGTCCCTTCTACATGTATTAGGCGATGTATGCTACCCCAGTCAACCTTGTAAAATAACTTACATACATTAGACTTATGGCTATCATCCAACAACTGTGTTTTGGGAGGATACCAATCAATGGTCCTTCAATCGTCAAATTCACATACAGTCCGTGTGTAGGAGGAAGGATTTCATTTCAAAATTGTCCTTCGACATCAGGGAATCCCACAGAGACATAATTTACAGTATTATTCTGGCTGAGTTCTTTGTGCCTCCCTCCTCCCTCTCCGTTGGGAACAATAAGAAGGAACGGAAAATCAGGCGTTCTGTTCTCCTCCAGTGTTCTAGAATCTGCAAGCTTGTTCCTGGCACAGAGCTCTCTGGGAGGTCTCAAATAATGAGGTTCAGAAACTACAACAGGATATTGAAATACCAATCCCCCCTTGGTTGGCCTCTCTATGATCTCACACACACACACACACAAAAAGAGACATGTTACTCATATTTGCCAAGAGACTGAAATTATGTTATATTTGTTCAGAGAAAAAGGCAAATGAGGGGGATTCAATGCAACAGGTTAAACATGTCTTGATTGCAATTCTATACAGTTTCCTTATTGAAGACATTCTACTAATTTCTGAAGTAACACTTATTGTATGTGATGATTTAACATATCCTGTCATGCTAGACTAAATTATCAAGTTTTGTGGACAACAACACTGTCAATGAAGGAGTATCTTCAGTATCTTTCTCCCCCATTTCCCATCTGTCACTGCATCACCTGCAAAGATCCACTCACTTCCGACTGTAGAATGGATGAATAATCTTGTCATGGAAAACTGAACAAGTCATTCAAGTGCCCTCTCTCTTCCGGGCACTTTATTTATCACCCCCCCCCCCCCCCTGCTCTCTGTATCCACCCTCCTTTTTTCGGGGCCTTATATTATATCTTCTTCGTACTTCTGCAGTGCCTCCTCTAACTTCCCAGTGATCTTCTGGAAGAAGCCGATCTGCTGCTGGAGGTGGTGTTGCATCTGGCTCTTGAAATCACGTACGCGCGTGCGGTGGAAGTGCTGGATCTCAGCCAGCGTGGCGCAGGAAATGATGTTACAACGCTCGTTGATGGTTGATCCCTCCCCTTCCTGTTTCTGGCACTCCTTCACTTTGGTCAGGGCACCTGAGGAGAGAGGTGGAGGAGAGGGAGAGGGGAAAAAGATGGGTGGGAAAGGGGTCATGGAAAGGGTTTGAGAGAAGGGTATCAAAAGTATTCCTATTAGTGGTGAAAAGGAAAAAGGCTATCTTTAGTCGTGCAAACTGTAGTTGAATCCTAAATCTGCCTTTTTGAAAAGTTTTAACATGACGCAGAAAAAGGAGTTGACCATGGATTCGTACCATTTGCTCTCTGGCCATAGAGTAGTAGACTGAAGCCAATGCTCTGTGGTCCCACTCACACAGAGTTAAAATTGTCTAACTCAAAGCAGTCGGTCTGATTTACAGCTTATTGCTCTGTGGAGTATTCAGGCTAAGAGGTTCTCCAAGGCCACAAACACTGAACAACCTTTTTCTAAGTGAATAGCTAAGAACAGCAATAATTGTACAAGTTGTAATGAGACATGAACCACAAAAGTGTTACTGTGAAGTACACATACTTGAGCTCTGAATGTGTAAATGGAAGATAAGACTTCGCCGCTGCTTTACTGAATAACCTTCACTACAGCCATTAGAATACACCCTTATCTAGGGAATATAAATACAACACACGTCACACACGCACACACCCACACAAACTTGGATTAATAAATATACTCATGATATGAAATTAACTTGGACTTTGTTCTTTTCAGAGCTGTGATTACAGAACCAGTGCCAGTGGTAAGAAGTTTCTCCAGGCAATACTGTGGAGCAGCTCCCCAGATCCCCACCCTTGGAGAGGAAAATAATTTAATCCTGAGGCTGCTTCCATTCTGCATTCCAACATTCCCAGGGCAACGCCGGACAAGGGGCCCCGGAATATCCTCCTCCTCATTCTATTCAGATGTAGGATAACCTAACCTTCAATGTCTCAATTGAACTTGGACTGCATAGCATGTAACAAACAGTGCCCCATATTTATGTACCTACTGTGTGATAAATCAAAGTGACAAATCAGAGAATGTTGTGTTACTTGGTCAAATGAGAATGAGAGAGTTCTGTTGAGCCATGTTTCCTTCCTCGAAGACTAGGCCTATCTGCAGTATCTTTGAGCCCTGCAATGTGATTGTAGGCTCCTTTGGCTGAGTTCTATTCAAATGGTTACTTCAGCATTTGGCAGATGTCAGAGGTTTATGTGCCAAAGTCCCAACCTCTGATCTCACTCTCGAGTGGGTGTGAGACAAAATTTGTGCAAGGACAGCGAATGAAATATCATACCCTTCCAGTCATGTTCGAGTGCATTACTCAACATCAAAAACTGTAACAGCAAACTTTTGCCAGCGAGCACAAAAGTTTAACATAATACAAAACATGTGTGCATCATGTTACATGAACTGAAGTAACATTCAAAACACAAAGGATTTTGATGCAAGGGATTTCATGGAAAGCCAAGGCAACCTTCATTTTTTGTTCATCATTAACATAACATCTGCATGACATGAACCCTGAGGTTAGTGACCAAAGAAATTAAATACTAATGAGGGTGCAGCCAAATGGCCATGGTCAGAGGGGCTTTGACCAGTCTATAAACTCTATTTCTATGGCAGAGACCAGAGACAGTTGTGACACCATACCGTACCTTTCTGAACATGTATGATATCAGGGTAGTTGGCCAGGTGTCCCTTGTACAGGTCCAGCAGGTCCGATATGGGGTCCAAATCCTGTCTGGGCTGCTCAGCAAAGTAGTCTCCTATAGCCTCGTAGGCCTCTCCTGTGAATGCTATGGCACGGTTCAGCCCTACAGAATAGGCCTGTTGGTCCATCTCAAAGGCTTGACCAAGCAGTTTGAAGGACTGGCCCACTTTCTGATACTCTTTCTTAAAGCCGGTGATCTGCTTCCTGGCAAACTCGTTGATGGTAGCGTTGACTACCAGACAGTTCTCATCCATCTTCTTGGTGAAGGCTTTGAAACTGTCTATTTTGCTCTCTACCTCCTGTAGGTCCAGTGGAACGGCCGGGGTGGAGATGGTCAGGAAGAAGTTAGCTCCAGTCAACTCATCCTTCTCTGCCTTTCTCTTGCCTGTCTTCCACGTCTTCTCGTCTGTGCTGGGGCAGGTGAGGAAATGCTGGAAGACATCACACCTGGCCAGGACAGGATGGCTCGTCATGTGGTTCATCCACCATATTAAACCTTTTCTGCGTTTGGAGACAAAGTCCTGTTCGAAGCGCCCCGTGGCCTGTTTCTCAGGCAGATGGGGGACTGATATGACAGGGAATCGTTCGACTAGGCGGGCATAGAGCCAATCAAAGTGCTTGTACCTTCTATTCACCTGGCTCTGGGTATGGGAGGGAGTCAGTCTGTATGACATGTAACTCTTCATGCCTTTGAATTTAGTCTGTTTGGTGGGGTCATCGATGGAGCAGGTGAATGGGTATGGGTCTTCTTGCCACTCTGGCCCATATTGGCCCATGACAACACAGATATTGTCCCCGTCCTTGACGAAGGCAGCCGCCTCGCCCAACACAAAAGCCTCTCCGCCTGATTTCACAAAGGTTGAGAACCTGTTGAGGTTTTTTCCCACTGTGGCTGAACTTTTGGCTTGGGCACTGCAGCGTCTCTCAGGCAACGTGGTAGTGACCGTGTATGCTGTGGAACTAGTTCCATCATTGTCATGTATCGTTCCAGATTCATCCGCCACAGTCGAGCTGTCATCCCAGTCATCATCCCAGTCATCATCACTACCTTGACTGGTCTGGTAACTGTGGTGCTGTGGAGTTTGCACAGGATAAGCAGAGTGGGTGGGGTTAGGAACGTTCATGTTCTCAGCACGAGAGTGGGACTGGAAATGGTATGATGAATCATATCCACTTGATGGGGAGTGGGGTTGATCATGATCTGCCGACATGACATTGTTGTTGGACGATATGTCAGATGATTCATTTTTTAGAATCTCCACATATGAGGCTGGAAAAAGACCCGTCTCCCCTCTGCTGTTAGCTCCCTCTAGCCATCCTTCGATATCTTGTTCGCTGTACAAAGTAACAACTTCGTTCTCAGTAATCGATATCTCTCCTGGATTTTCGGAACTAAAGTCGTACAAGGCTCTCGCTCTAAATGCCATAGTTTATAACAAAAAACAGTACTGATATTAATTAGTCATGCGAGCGAGCCATGGGATCACCGTATCACTTTGTATTCATCACCAACCTCTTTAGTTTTAGTTCTTTGCAATGGGGCTGTAGAATCTCGTCCGAAAATAAGTTTCAAGTTGTAAAGCATGCGCTTGTAGTCTGTAAATTCATGCGTAAAAGGCAAAGAACAATGTCTTATTTTTCTTCATGAATTGGTAGGAGGGAGAAAGTCCTACTCCAGATGCTTCATACTCGTAACAGGACTAGTCCTCACACGTAATAAGCCTGAATAATCGAGGGTGGAGCTAGTTCTAGGTTACATTCAACCTGGTTTTAATGTCTATGCATTCAACAGGCAACACAGCAGCAGTCACCAACAAGTTTGGTCAAGTGGCCATATTGTTGCCTTATTGTTACAATGTTGCAATATTGTTATAACGTCATTATAAGTATTATTACTGCACTATGCATGTAACGTGCATTAGGATTTTCACAAAATAAACGTAACCATTTCATGCTACTGGATTCCGTCTGTTTTACTATTTTGAGAAGTTTGGGGCATTTGCAACATCTGGTGTAGCCTCTATCCAACGGGATTTCAACGTCCCCAAAATTTTTATATCATTCAAATTAACCAAGAATAATCTAAACCTGAAATTATACCACGACGGTGTGATAATGCCACATAGGTCTGTGAAGTGTGGCCTAACATTGATTGTTTCTCTGTTATCTGTGCTATGTTATCCCATAAGGTAAACCTCGTATTCATTGTTATATATATTGTGTATTTTCATTAGGCTACAATGCAGTGTTGTAAAGTATTTAAGTAAAATACTTTAAAATCAAATCAAATGTATTCATAAAGTCATTTTTACATCAGCAGATGTCACAAAGTGCTTATACAGAAACCCAGCCTAAAACCCCAAAAAACAAGCAATGCAGATGTAGAAGCATGGTGGCTAGGAAACACTCCCTAGAAAGGCAGGAACCTAGGAAGAAACCTAGAGAGGAACCAGGCTCTGAGGTGTACTACTTAAGTCGTTTTGGGGGGTATCTGTACTTTTCTTTACTATTTATATTTTTGACGACTTTTACTCCACTACATTCCTGAAGAAAATAATGTACGTTTTACTCCATACATTTTCCCTGACACCCAAAAGTACTCATTACATTTTGAATAGTTAGCAGGACAGGAAAATGGTCCAAATTCACGCACTTATCAAGAGAACATCCCTGGTCATCCCTACTGCCTCTGATCTGGCAGACTTACTAAACACAATTGCTTCATTTGTAAATTATACTGAACAAAATTATAAACGCAACATGTAAAGATCCCAGAAATGTTCCATATGCACAAAAAGCTTAATTCTCAAAAATGTTGCACACACATTTGTTTACATCCCTGTTAGTAAGCATTTATCCTTTGCCAAGATAATCCATCCACCTGACAGGTGTGGCATATCAAGAAGCTGATTAAACAGCATGATCATTACACAGGTGCACCTTGTACTGGGGACAATAAAAGGATGTGCAGTTTTTTCACACAACACAAAGCAACAGATGTCTCAAGTTTTGAGGGAGTGTGCAATTTTCGGGCTGACTGCAGGAATGTCCATCAGAGCTGTTGCCAGAGAATTTAATGTTAATTTCCCTACCCTACCAACGTCGTTTTATGGAATTTGGCAGTACATCCAACCCGCCTCACAACCGGAAACCACGTGTATGGCGTCGTGTGGTCGAGCGGTTTGCTGATGTCAACGTTGTGACGAGTGCCCCATCAAGAGAGTGCCCCAAGCACAACTTGTATCGTCGCGTATAAACCACTAGAGGTCAATACATGCACATTATTGGAGGAGGGATGAAGTTTCTCTCACTTTGAGGCCACGGTTAATTGTCATGTTTTTCAAATAATAAAACCTAGATGTAACGATGGTGACAGGTTTTGTGTAGCAAATGGGACAGCCTTGCAAAAAAATTTAATCAGTCAAGTAAATGAAGCAAATACTGTACAAAGGTCACGTGACGTCAAGTGACGAGTGGGGGAGGTCATAAAATCCAAGAAAACCGACTTAAGTACGTTTCCGGGTTTCGACCAAGTTTCAAAACGGTGGTTGAGGTTTTAATTTGAACCACTCCAACTTTACGCGATAGTATAGCATCAAAAACATTATTACTTTGATTTATAAGGTTTCAAATGTCTGAGATATATCATATAGTCGGGTCTAACCAAATGAAGTCTATAGCCGGATATCACCGTTTCGCTCGAATATCTTTCATTATGCTACGCCGAAAAAGGGGGTTGTCACTAGTTACCACAGCCACAAAGTCAAATTGGCAATATTGTAAAAATTAATGAAAACAAAAATTTGCTTTTTGGTCTTCATTTAAGGTTAGTGTTAGGATTAATACTATTAGTGTGGTTAATGTTAGGTTTAAAATACGATTTCAAGAAGATACATTGTAGAAATGGGCGGGGTTTAGACATAATTATGACTTTGTGGCTGTGGGAACTATTGAAGACCCTGAAAAAGCTTTCCATACTTCCTGCAACATATCCTGTACAGCCCAAACTCGGATTCTTGCTAAGGAATAGGGACCAAAACAAAGCCAGGTGAAGAGAAGGCCGTGCATAGAATATCAAGCTCACATTTATGTTAACTAGTCTATAAGAAAATAGTAATTGCATAACCCACAGAGTTTCAACGCGTTGAAACCAACACACTCCGCACACCTTGATTATCTTGCTGTTTTTGGCCAAGGTGGGGAATACAAAGACAAAATAGTTTACACCAAATCAAGATTTGAATGCATCCATTTGACCTGGAATACGCCGAACCCAACCAACTTCGTTGTTGAAACTTCTCTTTTTTTGAAGAGCACGTCAAACTGAAGTATTTCATGGATTATCTGGTATGGTATTTTCCTTTGCTTTTCATGCTGCCATGTGATAGGCGCAGGCGCTGTCTGTGGCTTTAGTTAACTTTGACTTCAGATAATTAGCCAATTTTTGTATTTTATAATTGATTAATTGAACACCGTATAAAGGATTTTGGGGTCAGTCTATCGATCTGGTCTGCTTGGAGGACCATTTTACACCAACAAAATTGCAACCATTGCAGCTGGGCCAACAAACAATCTTGGACCACCATTAGTTTTAGCCATAATATGCTAGTAGCCTAGTCATAAAGTCGGTATCCTTCATAATGGCCATTAGGCCAGCTGTTTAAAGCTTGATCTCATTCTAATATTTTGATCACATTATATGGGCTTCATCCTATATGTGTATGTGTTGTGTTTTTTTCTCATGGGTTTTGTGTTAACATGTCAACATCTGCCCTCCAAATCTATCACACGAGGGGTATACTACACCACAAAGGAGGATCAATAAGTTAGCCAGCTGACTTGAATAAACAACTAGAAATGACTATAGATTTGTTGGTTAAATGAGAAATCTAAACATAGATATGTGTTTTTGGTTGTTGAGTCCATTAGACCATGCTCATTTTAAGCTTATCTTAAAAAAAGTTACACTGCCTTCAGAAAGTATTCATACCCCTTGACTTATTACACTTATTGTTGTGTTACAGCCTGAGTTAAAACATTGCTTTAATTTTTTTTTCTCTCACCCATCTATACACAATACCCTATAATGACAAAGTGAAAACATGTTTTTATACATTTTCTCAAACTTATGGAAAATGAAATACAGAAATATCTCAATTATTCCCATGAATTAATACTTTGTAGAAGCACCATTGGCAGTGATTACTGCTGTGAGTCTTTCTGGTTAAGTCTATTATTCTTTTCAAAATTCTTCAAGATCTGTCTAATTGGTTGTTGATCACTGCTAGACAACCATTTTCAGGTCTTGCTATAGATTTTCAAGTAGATTTAAGTCAAAACTGTAAGTAACTTGGCCACTCAGGAACATTCACTGTCGTCTTGGTAAGCAACTCCAATGTAGATTTGGCCTTGTGTTTAAGGTTATTGTACTGCTGAAAGGTGAATTCATCTCCCAGTGTCTGGTGGAAAGCAGACTGAACCAGATTTTCCTCTAAGATTTTGCCTGTGCTTAGCTCAATTCTGTTTATTTTTTATCCTGAAAAACTCCCTAGTCCTTAACGATTACAAGCATACCCATAACATGATGCAGTCATCACTAGGCTTGAAAATATGGAGAGTGGTAATGGGTTGTATGGATTTGCGCCAAACATAACACTTTGTATTCAGGACCAAAGCTTAATTGCTTTGCCACATTTTTTGCAGTATTGCTTTAGTGCCTTGTTGCAATCAGGATGCATGTTTTGGAATATTTTTATTCTGTACAGGCTTCCTTCTGTCAGCTAAGTTAGTATTGTGGAGTAACTACAATGTTGTTGATCCATCCTATCACAGCCATTAAACTCTGTAACTGTTTGTAAGTCACCATTGGTCTCATGGTGAAATCCTTGAGCTCTCTTTACCAGCCTTGTTTGTGTTTAGGGGCTATATGGCTAGTGCTTTTGACCTGTCTGTCATTATGACTGTCTTTTTAGTTTGCAGGCGTAGCCTCGAAGTTCATTACTCCTGCATGAATGCAGAATCATGCCATTCATTAGCTTGTTGTCCCTGGGTTTTCTCCCTTGGGAAGAACTGATAAGAAGTTGTCGTAGGATGGAGCTCTTCCTGAAGAAGGAACTAGGCTGAAAATAGCACAGCAAATGTTGGCTGCAAACCAACGGAGGGAGAAAGATAATGAACTTGCAGTAAAATCAAATCCATTAAACAACAGGGGTGGACTAACAGTGAAATGTTTACTTACGGGCCCTTCCCAACAATGCAAAGAGAAAGAAAATTGAGAAATAATAGAAAAGTAAAATACGTAATAATAGATACACAATGAGTAACAATAACTTTGCTATATACAAGGGGTACAAGTACCATGTCGATGTGCATGGGTACGAGGTAATTGAGGTAGATATGTACATATAACTATGAATAAAGTGACAGATAGTAAACAGTAGCAGCA